ATATCAAATTGCAACACCAAGCAGCATAACGAGCAGTTTTTAACGTCAAAAAATGAATGGAAGAGAATGAGACTGGAAGTCTCAAGCCAAAAAGACTTAAATGGCAGCGCCCGCTCGTCGGTGGAGAATAAGGTGAATACTCAACATCTATATATATATATATATATATATATATATATATATATATATATATATATATATATATATATATATATATATTAGTGCTGTCAAGCGATTAAAAAAAATTAATTAATCGCACCTTTTTAAAAAAAATTTATCGCAATTAATTGCATTTAAAATACTGAAACTTGTAATTTTGGCTATTCAAATGTAAAATTAATGTAAACGAAAGAAAAAAACTATTTAAATTCAAAATATAATTGTTTATTAAAATTTAAATTCAAAATATAATTGTTTCATAGAATTTTTGTTTAACTTGTAACACAGATTTCTTCATGTAAACAACATACCCACATTGAACTATCAAGATCCTGGCTTGACAGCCATATTTATTAAAGAAATTAAAACACAGGCATGTTAATGACATTTAAATTTCAAAACAATCAATGCCTATAAAGAAAACATTGATTTCTATGTTGGATTCTAAGTGGACTGCAAAAAATGCCAAAATACAGGCATTGCAGATATGGAAAATGGAAAATAATAATAATAAACTATTGAATACAAACTGTTGCACTCATTGTAAAGTTTTATTTCTGTGAGTTTAGAACATTAGTTATAGAGTAGAAACAATTTTGCTTAATCCTCCTTTACATTGATCCAGTTGCTAAGACTAGGAGTATCCCGCAAGTGCACAGAGACTCCCAAATGCCCGCAAATGAATGATAATTTCTCGCAAATCAGTCGTTAAATACATTGCACACCCCTCTCCCCCGCATCCCTCCAAGATCTTCAGGTAGTCTATGTCGCGCGCAACTCACCCCCACCGTCCTTCAGGTACGTCTCGCACGCACACACCCCTACTCAGATACGTCGCTCACTCCACCCCTGACACCCCTCAACGGGCCTGACACACACACATACACACACAATGCGCTGCAGACGTTTTGGCCCCAACGGCCTTCCATACTGGAGCGACTCCCTTCAGATTCAACACGCATGATCACATTCAAGACACCAATAAGATACCAGGCCACTGGTATCTTCATGGAATGTTTCATTTTTGCTCCCAAAAAAAGGCCATCCTCTTAAACAGTAAGTGCTTCTCCCCTTTTAGTCATGGCGCTACATAGACGCACCCCAGGAACTCGAAAGGGGCAACACACAACCAAACCGCTATCAATTCAACCAGGTTTCATGGACACAGAGGAAATCAACTTCCTTATCATTTCATCTCCCAAGGATCCAGGTATCCTAGGCTTACTATGGCTGCAACAGCATGACCCTATTATTTTCTGGAGAGATGGTGAAATTGTTCAATGGTGTGAACTTTACATTTAAGAGTGTTTCATACCCATATCATCAATTCAACTCAATGCATTTACTGTTCAAGAGGACAAACTCATACAGCCTAAACTCCCCCTGAATTCAAAGATTTGGCAAAAGCATTCAACAAACATGAGGCCATGAAGAAATACATTGAAGTGGAAGTGTCTAAAGGCTTCATCCCCAGCCATCCATGTAACTAGCTTCTGCTGAATTCTTCTTTGTCAGTAACCAGGATGGAGGACTCGGTCCATTGATTACAGAGCTCTTAAAAAAATTCCCAACCCAGGCTCATTCAGAAAACGTAGTCCTGTGGACGTTTCTGGAGACCAGGAAATACGTCCAGGTTGGTATTTATTTTCGCAGTTTTTGTTTTCGCGAATCCACAAGAGGCCGATGTGTGTGCTTTTTCGTATCTCAAATGTCTCTCGCGAGTGCAGTTCGTGCCTGCGATGTTCTCGCGTAAACCTACCAGAGGCCGCTGTCGAACAACCGTCTGACTATGGAGACAGATAAGACTCAAAAGTAATTCACGCAAAAGACACGATTTATACATGCGTAGCCAAATTCACGTGCATAAAACCATTTATATTCACAAAAAAAATTTCACGTGCTCAAAATATACATTTTCATAAAATACGTTTCACAAATGCAAAACAGCATTTGAAAATGTATAGGAGTGTACAAAAGTTTTAAATGTTTAAAACTTGCGAGTTCATCCTGAATGAGAATGTGCAAGTCCTCTTTCACGTACGACTCCCCCTGGATAAGTGTGTGTGTATTTTTGAGACTTTCCTGCCAGAGGCAGGGTAACTCATACCTTTCAGCCAATCAGAGGAGAGCTGTAGTCAAGGACACCCACTCTGCGCTCTATTTGCGCAGACTGTTCCTCTCCAGCATGGCGAACGGAGAAAGCAGCAGTCGCAGTCACATTTTTTTTCATTTATTTATTTATTTGACCATAGCCTCACTCTTTTTATCCATTATTTTGCCGCAGCTCCGCTCTTCTTATTTATTGTCTCGCAGCCCCATGAGTAAACTTTAGCCTGCAGGGTAATAATGAGGATTAAGTATTATTCTGGCCACACTAACCATAACAGTGTCATTGTGGTCCAGCGGTCAGCACGTTGGGTTGCCATGCTGTCGACCCGTGTTCGATCCTCACCTAAGTTAGTTTTTTTTTTTTTTCATTTTTATTGTTAAGACATACAAAACTGTAAGGTTGTTGAACATTTGAAGTTGTAAAGCAGCTGATTTCTTGAAAAAGACGTGATAGTGTCATTAGAAACTGAATTTCAAGCCTTAGACCGGCTCACCTCAGTTCACGACTGACTATATTAAAATAAAGTCATTTCCAATTCAGTTTCTAATGACACTATCACGTCCTTTTCAAGAAAACAGCTGCTTTAGAACTTCAAATCAACTGAAGATGAACAACTTTGCATCACTAAATTATTCACCAAGCTAGATCTATGCAGTGCTTATAACTTTATATGAATCAAGGAGGGGGATGAGTGGAAGACAGCATTTCTACTTGTACTTGCCACTATGACTACCAGGTGATGCCCTTCGGAGTGGTAAGTAGTCCATCTGTTTCCAAGCTTTTATCAACAAAGTCTTCCTTTACATGCTAAACTGATGGGTAATTATATACATCGACAACATCCTTGTATATTCAGTATTCTATGAAGAACATGTTTACCACATATGACCTTCAAAGACTCATAAATCAAAAATTATAAGCCAAAGCAGAGAAATATGAATTCTTCTAAATATCTGTATCATTCATGAGATGATGCCGAGGTAAACTATGTTTTGAACTGGCCTCTGACCTGCTACATTGAAGATGCTGCAACAATTCTTGAGATTTGCAAACTTCTTCCGCAGATTAATTTGAATCTTAGGCACTATAGCAGCTCCCCTCACCTCCATGACCAAAAAGCTAATAAGCCATTTCTCCTCCTGTCATCCAGACCCCAACAATCCCCAATCCACAGAATGTCCCATACTGTCTAACACAATCATCATTGCCCCGGTCTTATGAGATCCCACCAAACTGCCACCACCCCCAACAGACCTTTTCGTACAATTTATGCTCAGAGAGAAAGCACTCCAATCAGTCCACAATTCATTCTAATCTGTCACCAGTTCAGTCTTGTACAATTCTCTCACTGACCAGCTGAGGTCACCCTTACCAGATTACTAACTATCCACAAACTACATATCCTATAACCCTGTGCCTGCCATGGATTAGGACTCTAAGCTGTACTTAATACCAATTTGAATTTATTGTATTTAACAGGGACAATGCTCATTAACAAACAGTAAAACTGTCATAAGCCAGAATGAGCCACAAGGGCTAATTTTCATCTGTTGACCCCTGCCAGATTTTAAAAGGTAACTTAAAATAAAAAACACATCATCGAACATACAAAAACAGTAAAGTTACATATGACAAAGGGATAAAACATGTAATAAGAATTACTTAAAATATTAGATAAAAGAATTACACATGATTACAAACTTGATTTGCTTTTAGCCCTTTTTTTAACTTGTATTTAAAAGTTGAATGATTTGTAACACCCTTTAAATCAATAGGAAGTGTGTTCCAAAAATGTCTGATAGGAAATCACCCATAACATATTGCTCTTCCATGTTCACTGACTGCAAAGAGTTGTTTTGCTCTACAAACATTTCTAAGCATTTTTCCTGTTATGATATATATATATATATATATAAATATATATATATATATATATATATATATATATATATATATATATATATATATATATATATATATATATATATACTCGTTTCTCTGTTGCTGACATTCTTTGTTCCTCGTAATTTTTAACTTTATCGACAATTGCTTGCCTGCTGCCTGCCTGTTACCATAATGAAACCTCCTGTCTGTCCTAGTCATCCAGTGCATTAACACAAGTTTACTCACCTGGACGATTGCGTTATGTTTACCATTCACTTGCATATCCCTTTGTGTTCTACTGTTTACGTTGTTATACTGTGTTTTATAATAAAAGCTGCGAAATGGATTCTCTGGTAATCTTAATTATTAATGGTGTAAAGTGAATCAGTGTGGAATTCAACATTACCCAGTTAGTTCTGTTCAATAAGAATGTGAATGTTGATTCAACAATAAAGCTACCAATACCAATTGACCAAGCCAAAAATAGCATTGTCCAGCTTGGACTAGCAGTTGAGCTGCATGGTCTGATAGGAAATTTCTAACATTCCTGGTGTTATATAGAAAAATCTGCTTAAACAGGCAATTACAGCAATGTAGTATGTAAATTTAAGCTGGTCATCAAGAACCACTTTTGGGTTCCCAACTGTTCTGGAAGGAGTCATTGTCAGTGTATTGCGCCTAGCCGTATGATTTCACATATTATACCTTTCTTCCCGATTAGCCAATCCAAGCCTGCTACCAGACTGCAACAATTCTCACCAACGCTAAATGTAGCAAAGTAAAAGTGTTCTTGTATTCCTTACGTGATTGATTGATTTGAGTGTTTATTAAATAATCTTTTATTTTTCACATTCTTTTTTCCTCCCAGGTGAATGTGTACAAAACATAACCAGCCCTCTGAAGCAGTTTACACAATCAAGTTCTCTCCTTTCAGGGGATGGCCCGGGTCCAGGATGGGCACACAGAGGAATATGACAGGTGGAGTCATCAATAATCCTTTTATGTTAATTAAAAATGTATAACCTAAAATGGCCATTATTTTTTTTCTTTCTACATCCAATGGGAAAGGTTCATTCACATAGCACTCAATCGAAAATGGCACAAAGCGTTGACACTCTCAAAAAACAAGACACACAAGCTGTCACTGGGGCAGTTTATTTTTAAAAGGTATACATTTTTACTTAAAAGGCTGGGACACACCAAGCAGACTTTAAACAACTAGTGTCAACAAAACTCAACTGTGTTGTTGTCCTGCGTTAGCACTCTTCTGGCTCCAACTGGACCAAAGAGTTACCCATGAAGACATTAATGCCTAGTTCAGACTGCGTGATTTTAACCCCGATTTTGGCTCGCCGACAGGTTTTGAGAAACCACAGACAAATGCCTGAAATCACAGGCAAATCGCTGCTCGTGCACGTGAGTGATAATCACACAGTATGAACGATCAAAGACGCGATCTGAGAGAATCGCCGATGAGTCGCCGATGCCTGTGAGATATTTGGCGTGCTAAATATCTGGAGCTGTCGGCGATTCAAATCATGCCGTGTGAATTGAGTTTTGACTGAAAATAACATCGCCGATCGCCTACAGCCAATGAGAGAGTAGCTTTCACTTGTGTGTGCGTGTGTGTATAACTGCTGCAGGTCAGCGGGAGGCTGGGGGAGAAGTTAAAAGCGCTCTTTTTCGGTTTATTTGGACCCACGAAATGGAGGAAAAACTAGTGGAGGTTTGACAGGACTCAGGAGCAACCGTGTCTGTTTGACGTTTCATACAGAAAGAAATTAGTTTATTATCAACGTTGAGGAGAAATGGCTAATTCCCTTTAAACCCAGGTGAGCAAACATGTACATGTTCTACCCCATTAAAGGCTTCTTTCTCATTATGTAGTTAATAACAAAAGATATACTACATGTTTTTGGCTGTGAGACGTAGTTTGGACGAAGTTATTCTCCCTATAGTAAAGTCATGCAATGTGAATGTTCATGTCGCCGAACCATCTTGCAGTGTAAACAAAGCAGCGACGAAACGCTAGCCCAGATAGTCATGCAGTGTGAAAACATCTGTGACACGACTAGTTTGAAAATCATGCAGTCTGAACTCGGCATAAGCAGACTAAAGCTGACTGGAACAAGTGTGTGTGTTCTACACTTGCTTGGGAGGATGTGTCTTTCCACACCCATGGATTGCAGTAGTCTGTTTTCTTGTTGGCGACAGGAAACCAGAACTTCTGACACATACGTGCAAAAACTAAACAAAGCAGTGTTTAATACCAGTAGTTTTCACTCACCAGGGAGGGATTCAATTTTGCAAATATGTCTGTAATCAGTTAATCCATATCATTTGCAAATATTTGAAAAATGTAACAAAAATACAGCCAGCCTCTTTGTGGTCCTCCTTGACTTGAATTGTTTACTTGCTACATCACTTCACTTTGTCATACTCGTGCTCTGATTCTGTTTAATGTGTCTGCTAAAGAAAGCTGTTCCTGCCCCCTTCAAGCATGTAGAATTTATTTTATATTGTGTTTGTTGTTATCTGATGTGTGAACAATGTAACAACTACCGCCAAACATTTCAAATTTCCTGTGGTTTGATGTACAAAGTAGGCCACATTTGATGAAACATGCATGCAATCTTAGGATTGAACCTGTGGCATCCTATAAAGGACACTTTATGCTTACACTCACATTAGTCTCATAGAACTTAATGTTCACTACTTTACCAAAACTGTCCTAGATATGTTTTTTGTTTCTGGTTTTAATGTTTTTAGCTACTGGTCCTCATTTGCTGATCATATATGGTCAAGTTTAGGTTTACACCCACAACAGCCAGTGCTGACTCTCCCAAAACATTTGCCAAAACTATCTCTAATATGCTTTTGGAAATTTAGGTATTATTTTTGGGGCCACTTTAGCCTCATACCAATATTAACTAGTGCTTACAGTGCCACATTTTACTTTTTAAGATAACTGGGCCATATTTTATGAAACACATGAGGTTTATTTAGGCTACATTAGGCAACAGCCACATTAGTGCTTACTATTTTAAAAGTAGTTCAGATAAATTTTTAGATATCTTGATCCAATATCTTAAATTGCTTAAGTATATCTTGTTCAGGCCATGAGTCAACCAGCAGTGGGATACCAATAACTCAAGAAGCTCACATTTGTACCTATCCGAATTTACGTACAAATGTGTACCTTTTAAAAAGATACCACCCCAATGATAGTTTGTGAACTTTATTTTTTAAGCAAGAGTATTATGTATTATGTTATATGAGATGCAGAGGAAAACTGTAATTGTCAAATTCAGGAAAATTAATGCTTAATTAGTTATGTAAATCTTGGACAGTAAAAATGGATGTTTACTTACAACCTCAATTTATACTTTGTGTTACCCACCAAATAAATATTATGTCTTATTTCTTAGCTCTGTGATGTTAGAAGATGGTCAAGATGGAATGGACAGTGATAGCCTGACTCCTGGTTTAACTCGAGAGGTTTGCATCCAACGTCATCCAAGCCACGGCTTCGGTTTTATTGCTGGCAGTGAACGGCCTGTCGTTGTGCGCTCTGTCTCTGCGGGTAAGACATGAATCTCTGTCAGACGCTTTGGGCCAGATGTTCCTATTAATTTTTGTTGTACCAGCAAATCTGCTTTCTTTTAAAAAGGCTTTTACTTCCAAATATATATATTTATTCAAACACATTTAGATACATTTACAAAAATAAATTTCTGTTAGTTAAGTGATCTTGTCTCTTAAGGACTATTTTTCTCTTGGCCAGCAGGGATAGCTCTCCTTGTGCCATCTACATCCATGTCTCTTCACTCTTCTCATTGATACCATTATCCTCAACATACTCTGAACATTGTTTATTTGTTTTTTTGGATGCACTAGACCTGTGTTTGACGCTTTATTTGCCTGTTTGTTCCCTGCAATTGTGTTCAGTCTTGAGCCAATCATCCAAGCTTGTCCTGAGGTGACTGATCCTAAGCTAAGTCTTTGTTTCTAGTGGACTTTTGACTCTGTATTAAGTTTTGCCTGTGTGAGAGGAACCTTAGCTTTCTCTGTTTATTTTGTATCACTTAAAATTTCCTTATGAAAAGACTGATATTTTTGATGTTCATTGACAGCAGTTCCCTGGCTCTTATGTTTTTCTCCATATTGGTTTACTTATCAAGAAGTAAGCTCAGTTAAGACACTCCTTTGGGACACTAGAGACTGGGGTTCACATCAAGGCTAAAACATAAATTTTTGAAAGTTCTCCACTACCTTCAAAAGTGGGACTAGAATTCACCACTAAATTCAAACAGTAAGCATGCACCAAGGAGGTGAAGGGAGTATTCAACACCTAGTAACTTGTGGAGATTGCCACTACTTGTGGAAATTGCCGACACATTGTGCATTGAGCTTGCTTAACATTACTCAAAGAAACTAGCACAGCTGAGTATGCCTTTGAGTTTGGAACCCTAGCTACTGAGAGTGGATGGGAATTAATGGGCATTAAAATCAACTTTCTTACATGACTTGTCCCTAGAACTCAAAGATGAGCTAGCATTCTAAGAGTCTTCGATTACCTTTGAGTTCCTTATTGAGGTGACCATCTGGATCAACCACTGCCTTAGAGAACAAAAGGCAGAATCCCAGAAGGAGTTCAGTTTACTTGATGCTGTGAGCTCTATTAAAATTACATTGAATTCAGCCACCATAATCAACTTACAAAACCTATGCAGTCGGGTTGAACTCAGATATCCTATCTGAGCATAACCAATGAATGAGGAAAAGATGCTGTCTTTACTGGGAAAAATCTGATCATTTTCAAAGTGACTGTCCTTAGCTGTCAGGAGAAGACTTGTCCAGGTGTTAGGGAATCTGGGCAAGAACATCAGCCTTCCCTTGCTCTACTACCTCAGGCTTCTATCCTCAGTGTTACAATCTTACGAATCACCAAGTCTGTCCTTTTGTTGACTCAGCAGCCACTCCCACGAAATCCCCAAATAACACTGCATTGAATCACCTTAAAGAACTTTTCTCATTCTTTTAGATTTACACCCCTAACCTCTTGTTCATCCTCAGTTTTCCTTGACTTGACTGTTCATAACCAACAATTGAACTACTCCAGTGGAAGTGTCAGAAAGAATTTAACTGAAATGGTTGAACTGAATGTCTAGTCTTTGACAGTGCCTTCTGTTGTTCTCACAAGCAACTTGAGGTGTTCCCACACTTCTTGGCGGTTAATCCTAAGAAAACTCCCATCTTCAAACCAAGGCTCCATCTATGAAAATCCTAGCCATTCCAAGAATGGATCCAGCCAATATTAAACCCTCACCTCAGCTTCCCCCAGTTCCCCAGAATTCACTGACCTTGTTAAGATCTTGAACCAAGTACGAATCAAGCTGCCACTACCCTGCCCCCCTGCCACATAAAATAAAACTGTGCCATTGATCTTATACCAGGTACTAGGTCATCTTCAAAGAAAATAGAAATATTATCACAGTAGTCCAGTTCTGTCAAAAATGCAGTGGCTCCCTATTAAACATAGTTTAAATATTAAATATTATTGTCCTGAATGGCTTAGCTCCACAGTATTTGAATAAGCTCCTGCTGTATTACAGCCCCTCATGTCTACTATGGTCTGTTAATTCTGGACAATCGATTTACTGTAGGCAGTAGAATATTCTCTTATTCTCATATCTGGCACCTTAACTGTGGACAGCCTTCCTAGCACAGTTCAAGAGTCAGAAACACTTTGTCAGTATAAATATAGCTAAAAACACATCTATTTGTATTAGCATACAAATAAAACACAAACATATGACTTTGAAACTGAAATCTCTTAAGCATTGTTAAGCTGCATTGATCAGACAACCAGAGCTGTAAACGTTTCACAAAATAACTGAAATTACCACAATAACTGAAAAGCAGAGAGAGTTTAGTTCAAAATCTGGAGTTTATTTATCAAAACGAATGAAATAAGGCAGCTGCCGATCCACTACCACCCGTGGGAGAACGCAGACAGGAGGAGGAAACTGGTGAACTGCCTTGGCTTCCTCAGAGCGGAGCGAGGGCTGTAGCTGGCAAACGCAGGTGAGGAGCTGGGATTCAGCGGCAAGGAGACTGCGCAGATCACAGGTAAGCAAAAGCGATAAGTTGTAAATCAAGGATATAATTTAGAATTTACTAGAGCGAGAGTAGGTACATCAGTATAGATTAACACAATTATCTGACAAAGAGTAACAAGAAGGAACAGGTTTATAAGGAGGGACCAATAGACAATGGAAACAGGTAATGATGCTTGCGCGCCAGCGCTGATTGAAATGAGAAGGAGCTGAAGTTAACAACACAAAAAATTAGATCAAACCTGACTCGTAACAGTGCCCCTCTCCCGAGGGGCGCCCCCAGAGAGAGAGACTGCCGAGAGCGTGAGAAGTCCTCAATCAGCGAGCGGTCCAAAATGTCCCTGGTCTCCACCCAACTCCTCTCCTCCGGACCGTATTCCTCCCAATCGACAAGATACTGAAAACCCCTGCCACTTGGACGTGAGGCAAGAATCTTCTTAACATTAAAAATAGGGGCATCATTGACAAGAGCAGGATGGGAGTAGGGGGAAGGTCTGGAGAGAGTGCGGATAATGGGTTTAATACAAGAAACGTAAAAAAAGGGAGAAACACGCTGCATAGAGCGGGGTAAATGGAGACGGACAGCTACAGGGTTGATGATTTTGGAGATGGAAAAGGGTCCTATGAATCTTTGAGTGAGTTTACGAGAAGGAGTCGGCAAAGGAAGGTTACGCGTAGAAAGCCAGACTTTCTGACTGTAGACATAACGGGGGGCTTTCTTACGATGTCGATTGGCACTGCGATGTGTTCGTTCGCGAGTCTGAAGAAGTGATCTGCGCACTCTTAGCCAAGTACGTCGGCATTGTCTAATGAAAGCCTGTATGGAGAGTACAGAAGCCTCAGGCTCTTGTGAGGAAAATAAGGGAGCTTAATAGCCTAATAGACAGTAAAAGGGGGAGAGACCAGTGGCTGATGTGGGCAGTGAATTGTAGACGTATTCAGCCCAACCCAACTGCTCGCACCAGGAGGCTGGTTTGTGGGCAACTAAAGTGCGGAGGAGACAGCCAAGGATCTGGTTAAAGCGTCCAGCCTGCCCGTTAGTTTGGGGATGAAAACCGGATGACAAGCTAACCGTGGCCCCTATCTGCCGATAGAATTCCTTCCAGAATTGAGATGCGAACTGAGGCCCGCGGTCTCAGAAGGTAAGCCATGGAATTTCGTGATTGAATACAATTTGGGCTGTTTCTTTAGCCGATGGCAGATTGGACAGAGGAATTAAGTGTGGATATTTGGAGAAGCGATCAACCACCGTAAGAATAACGGTATTAACGGCGGAGGGTGGTAACCCAGTGACAAAATCTAACGGATGTTAGACCATGGACGTGACGGAAGGGGGAGAGGACGCAAAAGTCCGGCTGGAGGGGAATTGTCAGATTTAGCTGGAGCGCACACTTTACAGGACATGACAAACCGGCGAATGTCGTGAGCCATGGATGGCCACCAAAAACTTTGGGAAGTGGTTGCTAGAGTGCCTTTTATACTGGAATGGGCTACGAGTTTGGATGAATGAGTCCAACGCAGGACCACTGGACGTACAGACTTGGGAATGAATAGTCTACCCTTTGGGCAGCCGCGGGGGATAACCACGAGAGTAAGAGCCCTTTAAACCTGGCGCTCTATGTTCCACATAACCACGCCTATCACTTTCCCCTTGGGAAGAACGCCTATCACTTTCCTCTTGGGAAGTCGCTCGTCTTCGATGGTACTAAATTGACGTGACAATGCGTCCGGTTTGATGTTCTTGCTACTGGGTCTATAGGAGATCGTGAAATCATATCGGTTAAAGAAAAGAGCCCATCACGCTTGTCTAGCATTAAGTCGCTTGGCCGAGCAAATGTAAGTTAAATTATGGTGGTCAGTCCAGACAACAAATGGTACAGACGATCCCACTAACTATTGCCACCATTCCCCGATGGCCAAGTGTACAGCAAGGAGGTTGCGATCTCCCACATCGCAATTGCTCTCGACGGAAAAGAGACAATGAGAGAAGAAAGCGCACGGATGGACCTGGTCATCTTCTGCCTGCTGAGAGAGAACAGCGCCCACGCCCACGCTAGTTTACGCGTTTACCTTAAGGATAAACTGGAATGACAGATCGGGATTAATGAGAATGGGAGCAGTGGAGGAGAGCTCCTAAAGGAGATCAAAAGCTGTTTGAGCTGCCGGGGTCCAAGCGAATTGGATCTTAGTGGAAGTAAGCGCGGTCAGCGGGGAGGCAACTTGACAAAAATTTCAGATGAAACAATGATAGAAATTGGCGAAACCGAGGAATCTTTGCAATGCTGTCCGTGAGTTGGGCACGGGCCAATTAATTACCGGGCGTACCTTCGAAGGATCCATGCTGATCCCCTCCGCCGAGATAACGGACCCTATGAAGGTGACTGATTTGGCATAAAATTCACACTTCTCTGCTTTAACAAAAAGACGATTCTCCAGCAGATGCTGTAAAACGCGGCGGACGTGC